GGTCTTTATAAAAATACAGAGATGCCAATGAGACGTTCAAATATCGTGTAATTTAGCAATAATGTGTCATCATAAGGCCTTCAACAATGAGCAAAACCCATACTGTATAGTCAGCTATAAATGCCCCGACATGATAAATGGAAACAATTCATCATTTGACGAGAAAACTAACGGCCTAATTTATAACAATACAATTAAATAAATAAAAAAAAAACCTTCTTTGGCCATGGGATGGTCTGTTCTTCTTATATCATTATTTCTTAACAAATCAAATCAAATTGGTATAGAGATAACAGAAGTATATATTACAAAATTCATATTTACATGGATACAAAGATAAGACAGACGCAATATATAGATGCTCTTGAAAGGTAAAGTACATGTACCCAGTGGACCCTACAAAGAGATTAGTAGTAATGTTATCAATTTAATAATTTGTTTAGATCGATTTGATTTTTTGCTTTGCGTCAGTTCAGTTGCACCTAGTAATAATATGAAATATTGAAATCATTAAAAACATATGCAGCCAGCTTTCACACACTAGTACAAGAATAAGGAGATGTGGTATGATTGCCAATAAAACAACTACCTACCAGTGACCAAAGAACGTGAATTTAAGTAACCGTAGATCACCGTACGGCCTTCAATGAAAAGGAAAGCCAATACCGTATAGTAAGCTATAAAAGGCTTCGGCCTGACAAAATGTGAAAAAATCAGACTAGATACAAAATGTAACTAACTTAGACTAATGCTTAAAACAATAAACGAAAAAAAAATTTGACAAACATAACGACAACCACTGAATAACGGGCTCCTGATCACTTGGGACAGGCACATACAGAATGTGGCGGCGTTAACAAAATATTTGTGAACGATCAACCCTCCCCTGACAAGGGACATTGGTGTAACAGAACAACATAAAATCAGTCGGAAAGAGATTGACTAATCAAATCAACACGAAGCAAAATAAAAAACAACAAAAAAAAAAACAAGACCTTAACCCTCGATAAACAAGAATGTTTTCAAAGTACACGGATGATACACTCGCACTATCATTTTCTATGTTCAGTGGACCGTGAAATTGGGGGTAAAAACTCTAATTTGGCATTAACATTAGAACGATCATATCATAGGGAACATGTGTACTAAGTTTCAAGTTGATTGGACTTCAACTTCATCAAAAACTACCTGGACCAAATACTTTAACATGGAAACTTTAACCTGAAGCGGAACAGACGGACGAACGGACGGACGAACGAACGAACGAATGGACGCACAGACCGAAAAACATAATGCCCATAAATGGGGCATAAAAAAATAATTGAACAGAAATTAAAAAAAGTAAAGAATTTAAAAAAAATTAAACACATCAAAAAAGGAAAATAAAAAATGGGGTCCATATACCAAGCGCCTGTGTATCCAATTATATATAAACGATCTAGCACCTGAAATCAACTGTTTAAATTTGAGTTTACTAATGAATGCAAATGGTATGTTGTGTTTTTCGATATTGTTATACGAGGATGACATTGTTCTATTGGCGCCCAACGAAGAATCCCTTCAGCAAATGTTGAATATTGTTCATAAATGTTGTTCTAAATGAACACTTTGTATAATTTTGGCAAAACTATAAATATATAGTCTAAAACAACAAGTTTCATCTTTTGATATAAATCAGATTTCAAGAGAGAGTGAATCAAAAAATTGTTGAGTAAGGGATTAAATTTCTGTCCTATATCAGCCATCAAAATTAACAACCTGCATTAGGAGACAGATTCAGAACAATTTGCAAGACGTCTTCGCCTAAAGGAACATTTTAATAGGCAACACAAAAAAAACTTACAGGAAGCTGGAATGAATGATTCTGAATATGAGAGTGATAAAGAAGACATGTACATCCCTAGATTTAAAAAGAAAGGCGAATGGAATCAACCCAGAAGTAAGAACGATAATTTAGAATCTTTTATATAATCTATTAAAACTGAAGTAAAATCATCAGTCAGTGGCAAACGCATACGGAATATCTCAGAACAAGAAAGCCAAGCCATGAACAACTTAAAATGTCGAGATGATATTGTTATTAAACAAGCAGACAAAGGAATTATGAAGTGCAGTTGTTGTGATGAACAAAACCGACTACATTGAAGAAGGGAATCGTCAGCTCTCAAACACCAAATTTTATAAACATTTAGAATGTGATCCTACAAAAGAAATTAGCAAACAAATAAATGAGGTCCTTTCAGATATGAATAGCAAAAAACACATAGATGACGACACGTACGACTATCTACGCCCTGATGAAACCTTCACAAATAATATACCCAAATCGCCACGTATGCGGGAAATTTGAAGCGAAATGTAGAAAATTTAACCGTATTGTATTCAAGTTGAATTAATATCGTATTGATGAATTGAGAAACAGATACTTTCAAGCAAGGGGTGCATTGTGGGGGCATCTGAGCCATGCATAATTAATAGACATTGTAGAGGCATGTGCCGCCTTGTCAAAAAACATAAAACATTACTTGATTAAACCTTAGCTACTCTTTTTTTATCTGATCCAAATTTTATAAAGGAAATTAAAAGTTCATCATTTAAAAGGACAAAATATTGTGGTCTTTTCTTTCTTCAGATAAAAGTGATTTAATGAACAATTGCTTTACAAACAAGAAAAGCATATGCCATTAGCCATATTTAAACATGTTTTTGTTGAGTGTTTGTTTATATTGAAATTTGTATATTTCTGAGTATTGAATTTGTATGTATGTGTGACTATCCTTTATTTGGATTTTTAAACCAACAATTATTTGATTGGATCCATATAAATACCCGGCACACCTATACCATGTATACTCTAGAATTAAAGCAGACTGATATATTTGTACCAGGAAGGACCTCAATGTATATTTGAAAACGACTAGCTGGTGTATTTGTACTAGGAAGGAACGTGAATCTATTGCAAAAAGTATACAACAGAAAGTGTTTCATGAATTTTTAAATGGAGTATGCTACCTGCATATCTTATTACATCGCACTTATAATCTCGAGTTTAAAACAAATTTCAGCATATAGACAACCTTGAAAAGAGTCAAGTAGATTTTTTCATTAGTTTGGAAGTATGATGTATTGAATGGATTCCCGTCTGTTGATCGCCCACATGATGAATACAATCAGGGTTATCAATGATGAGACGAAATAAATAAATAAACAAAATTGTAACCGATACAAATTGCATACAATGACAAAACCGATGACGCGAGAAGAATAGAAAAATAACTCTTCTTATGAAAAAGAAAACAAATCAATAGTAAAACAATGCCGGTGATGATACTGATTAAAAGATATTTCTAAACAACAATCGTAAATTTGAAAGAAAGTATTTGTTAAACTGTGTTGTTAGCAATATAACATGCAAAAACATGATGTTTTATTTTCATTTATTATTGATACAAAAATAGAAAAAAAACATGTACATACAAAATCTAAAGCTCTTTCAGATCACCAAGTTTTCCACATAGTCCTTACCATGTTACAATTTTTAAAAACATCGAGGTTTTCGAGTACGCTGGTCTGCTCTTGTCACGTGAAATGTCAATATAGAATTCGAAATATTGTCTTTCGTGAAAAAAAAAAATAATTAAAAGTTTTGTTTATGCAGGTTTTAGAATTTAAGATAAATATTTTACAAAGTAGATTATCCGTTTAAAGATTTTTACTAATTTTTTTTACAATTTTAAGAATATGTCGTGTCGATTTTTGTACATATATTTGCTGTCTTCTCGATTTATTTTCATTCAATGTTTACATCGGTATAAGGTCTGTTTGAATTTTTTTAAGGAACTTAATTTCAAATGTGAACGACACGGGGCCACACAAACCAACGACAACCACTGAACTACAGGCTCCTGACTTGGGACAGTGGCGGGGTTAACATGTTTGTGAACGGTCAACCCTCCCCTTACAAGGGACAGTGGTGTAACAGAACAAAATAAAATCAGTCGGAAAGGGATTAACTAACCCAAATCAACACGAAACACCAAAAAAACAACTAACAAACTAGACATTTCCAATAACACTCGACACCGACAAAGGACACATACGGTTCAAAGGTAAAATCGAAGATAAAACCATTCAAGAATAATATTCGATTCGATTGTATTAAACTAGTTCGAAAAAGAACGGGAATCGAGCAAATGTCTATATCTATGCATTAGTCAGCAAGAAAAGAAGGGCAAAATATATAAACTACTGTTGCTGTAAAATCGTATGGATGACAGCAAATATAAAAATAAGATGTGGTATGATTGCCAATGAGACAATATTCCACTAGAGACCAAATGACGTAGAAGTTTAGTTTTTACAATTCTAAGAATATGTCTTCTTGATTTTTGTACATGTATTTGCGGTCTTCTCGCTGTATTCGCATTCAATGTTTCCATAGGAATAAGGTCCGTTTGAATTTGCTTAGTTACTTAAATTCAAAAGTACAGCATATTTATCGATTCTTCTGGTATTTTTTCCCCTGAACTTCTCTGATATAGCTGCATACATATACGGATAATTGGCATGTTCAAGAGCGGTATACAGCCAGTAGAAAAATAAATTGAAGTTGGTACTCCAGGAATTCGCATAGCAACATTTTAAACCAATTTTACACAAAGCTCCTATATATATATATAGCCTGTAAAAACATGTTAAAAGCGACCTTGCACACTTTTTGACAGAACTAATGTCCTCAGTTCTCGATAAACACATAAAACTTCTGTGGCTTAAAAGAGAAAATCTTTACTTATAAAGACAAAAGTGGGCCCTTATATTTTGCATCCAAAGTAACATATAAATCAACCAAGCACGAAAGAAGTATCCTGGTGCATGTGTATGTAAAATTTCAATGGAAAAACATTTAAATAAAAATGCAGACCTTCTTTTCAGTCCCAAATTGAAGAATGGATTAAAATACATATAATATGATTTTTCTTTTTTTTTTGGAAAACAACATCTATGATAGTACAGTACAGTACTATAGTTTAATAAACGATGATTTACAATATATGGACTAATTTTGTTATAAATACATCTCTTCAATGAATACTGATAAAAATATTTTTGTTTAGAACATAAATTAATAATATGAAAATGTTTTGTCGTTAGATATATATATATATAAGTAAAAAATCATTGATAATATCTATGCACACGTACCTAAAAATTGTGTTAAAGCATGCGGAAGAATATCTCAAGAACGTTTAGCGACAATCCCGGCAAAGACCGGTAACTCCGTAATTGTTTTTGCGGGAAAATATGAATGCCTCCTCATATCCAATCTTTTAGAAAAATCGAATTTTTACAGAAGAGTGTCCACCATGCACTTGCACTGCACTATTATTAGAATAGTAGAATAGAATGATATACAAATGAATGAAAATTATATATACATGTAACTGTTATATTAATATAATATATAACAACAAACCAGTGTATACTGATTTGTATCACTACAATATGATAGTTATTACGGTGAGGTTGAATTTCATGTCATTTATTCATCATCCACGCACGAACTTGTCTCAGAAAAAAATATATCTCTGTACATTAACCTCAGTTTCAGGTATAGAGATGTGATTTTTTTTTCTGTGACAAGTGCTTTTGACCACCCACAAGAACTTGCGGTCATCCGATGTTCAGTACTTTGATTCTATATACCTTTGAATTTGATATCGATTTTCATGGATTGTATAACATTGTTTTGACAAACTCTGCACACACGCCTATAAAAAAACCTTGTACTTTGTTGAATCCTATAAATACATGGAAAACCACGAAAACTAGTATTTCACGTAAAACAATGTTCCTTAGTCATGAACACTTTAAATAAGGAGTAACACCCGTTATCATTAAAATCAGTGATTTTACAATCGGTTATGTAATTATCTGATGTTTTCAAAGATAAAATCGTTATAAAACAAAACAGAAAAACACCATTGTACACTCTTACATTATAGTTGTTTAAAAAAACTGAAATTTTATCAGCCATCATTTTAAACAACTGACTCCTTTGTAAGAAGCTTATCAGATTGTTCAGTTAGTCCATTTGGTATTTTAAATTTAGTATTACGTGTTGAATTTCTTGTATATGTCCAGGGACGTAACAAAAAATATCCAATAGCATATCCCAAAACGACAGAACCAATTATCCAGACATTCATTGTCATTACACATAACATCAGAATGTATCCCAATACAACGCGAGTCATGTGAATAGCTGTTCTTTTACCAACAAAAGCACACTTTGCCATTTTAACAGTTCTTTTGCTGTCTGACCTAGAAAAATAAAATTAATAATGCTTAGAACTAAATGCCTAAGCACAAACAACACAACGCTAAAAAAATTTTAAGATAAAAAGCTAGTAAAAACGAGAAAATGTAAACTAGTTATTCTGTTTGGATTCTTCTTTTCGCAATGTTCTCGCACCCATTTTTCTAGTTATTAATGGACTCATTGTATTTTTGCTGCCTCGGTATACTTGATATAACTTTAAACATCGATCAAGATATTGTCGGAAAGTGTTATAATTTTATTTCAAACACGGATAGGATACAGAGTTACTATGATTAGCACGGTAAATTATACTATATCGCCTATTAAATGCAATAAAATGTTGATTACTTTCCCCTTTTACAAAAGGCTGTCGACAATAATATGTAGTTTGTTTCTTATACAAGATATACAGAGTCTAACGATGAGCTGATAAAAACGGCGGGAATTCGTATTGTTTCGTTTTCTCTTTGAATATATAAATTATCATAAAACGATTTAGATTAAGATTGATGGATTGATTGATTTTTTGTGTTTAGCACCATTTTTAGCACTACTGACTATTTCATAGCGGCCGGTGTTTATTGGTGGAAGAAGACTGAGTGTCCGGAGTGAATCACCGACATTCAGAAGGAAAACTGACAATCGATCGGAATAGAACGCACCTGCGAGGTTCAAACTCACAACCTAAGTGCTGAAAGGCTAGTGATTCAATAGATGAATTAATTAGACCACCTGTCAACCGAGGCCCATTTTTAGATTAGAGATCTTTGGCAAATATTTTGTTTCCAAATGTTTTGTAGCCCCACTTGTTTAGGTACTGAAAAATGTCACAGCTTTTTCTGATATTCTTTAACATTGTAGTATAGGTTAGTTATGTAAACAGTTTCCAGACGTTCAGAACCATAGACTTGAAAATGGTTTATAAAAAGGTAAAGGCTAGAAACATTTACTTGAAGATGATAAATATTAAAATAAGAAGAAGTGGTATGATTGCCAATGAGACAACTCTCCACAAGAGACCTAATGACACGGAAATTAACAACTATAGGTCATCGTACGACCTTCAACAATGACCAAAGCCCATACCGCATAGTCAGCTATAAAAGCCCCGAAATGAAAAATGTAAAACATTTCAAACAAGAAAACTAACGGCCTAATTTATGTACAAAATAATCAACGAAAAACAAATATGTTACACAGCAACAAACGACAACCACTGAATTACAGGCTCCTGACTTGGGACAGTGACATACAGAATGTGGCGGGGTTAAACTAGTTTGAAGGCGCCAACCCTTCCCTAACCTGGGACAGTGGTGTAACAGTACAACATAAAACAAAAAATAAACTATAAAAATCAGTTGAAAAAGGCTTAATGCGGCGTTCACACATTGCCGATTATGACTCCCGTTTGAGACCAGACAGCGATAAGACACGAAAAGTGAAAAAGTCGGATTACTATCCTCAATTATCTGGAATGTTCTATCATTGTCTGAACGCAGTCGTATAAGTTCGTAACAGATTCCTACGGATCGGGAATGGTCCGGAGAGGTCGGCCAAGCACCCCGATAGTTAGGTGCTTCCCGTAACATTCGGGGAAACTCAGCCGATTTTGTCTAGTCGGATTACAATCGTGACTATGTCGTGACAGATTCTGCTGTATCGGATAAAAATCCTAACAATGTTCTGTGTTTTCTGGACGGTGTCCTGTGGAACAGGAATGATCCGGATAAATTTGTCATTGCTGTTTTTCTGCCGATTGAGTCCAGATTGCATCCAGATCTTGTCGAATGCCGGAACCGTCTTTGCCGGAACCGTTCCGGAACAGTCCCGTTATTAATACGAAATTCGGCAATGATACCCACGTCAGAGTCCCGACAATTACAGAACACAATACGACTGAGTCCAGACAAAGCCGTATGCAATACGGTACAGCGGACCGTGATAGAGTTACGTCCCGCCAGTACCTGATCATTCCGAATATGCCGACAGTTTTCTAACGGATATCTTCCGTCAGCGTCGGTTCACTGTCTGGTCACTGTCTGATCTCTGTCGGATTACATTCGGTAGAATCGGGACGCTGCGAAAGATACAAATAGGATTAGATTCGGATTGAGAACTGGATTATCGGGACAAATTCGCTTGGAAACGGTTGAATATCGACGCTTCCTGAACAACATCTGATTGTTGTCGTGATTGAATAATTTTTTTTACAAATTTTAATTAAAGTTTGAATTTCCATCCACGATTCACAGGATCTTGATCAGACTTTTGAAAAATTTTAATCGGGAAAGGTCCTGTCAAAGACGGCAGTAAAAATCGTGAATGTGTGACCCCAGCTTAACTCATCAGATAATACACACAGAAATACTTCTAACAAAAACACAAAGTGGACGTGACAGGGTACTTATTAATCCCCCCCCCCCCCGACAATAAGACATTAAGTACAGATCTAAGAGTACTCGCAGTTACTGACAGCTAGTTCAAAGCCCATAACAAATAATTAAAAAAAAAGCTGTTAATGGTCTCCTTGACAATATCTATGTACGTTTCGGCAATACAATATACCGCTAGGTTATAAATATTCCCAAGACCACCAATTGCGCCCTTTTAATAGCAAACGTGTTCCTTTATTGTTAAGAATCACATTGTATGGCCAAATTCAGAGACGATCTGTCAAAATTCATTTAACAGAAAAAAAATAAAATCACTTAAAAACACCTTAGTAATATGTTTTTTTTTTTAAATCAAGGGTAATCTAATTTTATCGCGAGAATTTACCCAATGGAACTGACTTTAAATAGATCTACTATAAACAGCAATTGTTCTTTTCTATATTTGGATATTTCTGTTTTACTCGAGAAACTCTATACAAACATTTACAAGAAAGAGGTGATTTTCCATTTCCTATTGCTAATTTTTTTATTGTACGTTGATGTTTCTTTGGCCCCTTCTTACGGTGTCTGTATCCGCCAACCCGTGTCTGTACTGTAGTGACGTTTCAGGTTTCAATGAATGGTATCTATAAACACGGCTAGTCTGTTGTAACAAACTGTGTCAGTACCCTCTTTAGATAAAGAATGTATTATATTATTATCATTATCTATGTGTCACTGGGAAATTATTAGGGATTTTGTTAAAACAAATTACTTATAACTCTTATTCAATTATTTCATAGATACAAACATTTGGTTTGAAAGTTCCTGTATCTTTAGAAACGTTATTACGGCAAACAGGACATCGTATCCTAATTTTTACGATTATGTTGCTTATAGAGTCCGTAGATTTAGATACGATCCGTGTTAACTTATTGATCACTTGAATAAGCTTACTAATATTCTGAAAGTTTATCAATTTAACGTTGCAGTAAAAAAAAATAAATTTTGTCTCCATCGGTACGAACATTGATTATGTTTTTAATAAATTAAAACAAAACTAAAGTATTGCTATACAGACGAGTAATAAGCACTTATGGTCTTGCATTCTGTCGATATTTTTATTCTGGCATTGTCCAGAAATACGCTTTTATCAGTCTGTTTATGATGTCTTTATTCTATATCAGTTTGGTGTGTACTAATTGATATTTTATTCTTGGGAAACATAGGTCATGTATGAGTTGAAGTTCGCTTTGACTGAGAGTACACTTAAATCTGTACCTTATATCTTTTTTTATTATGCCCTCGCAACTGAAAGTTTGGGGGCATATTGTTTAACCCCTGTCCGTCCGTCCCATTATGGGTATATAGTTATTCCAGATAACTCCTCCTACAGTTTGAATGCTAGGAAGTTTTCACTTTGCTGGCTGTTTTTTTCATATATTGAAGGTGTGCATGTAGTCAGGGTTTTGATTTTTATTGATATTTGCTCTTTTGGGAGATAGTTGAACTTTGTCATTTTTGGAGTATATACTTACATAAGAGGTGCATAGCGTTTCCGGATAACTCCTCCTACAGTTTGAATGCTAGGAAGTTTTCACTTTGCTGGCTGTTTGTACATATATTGAAGGTGTGCATGTGGTCAGGTTTTTGATTTTTATTAATATTTGCTCTTTTGGATATAGTTGAACTTTGTCATTTTTTGGAGTATTAACTTGCATAAGAGGTGCATAGCGTTTCCGGATAACTCCTCCTACAGTGAACCATAGACCTATGTGCTCCCATGCTCAACTTTGTGCATTTTAAAATTACACTTTGCATCTGCGGGGGCATCATTTGTGTTCCAGACACAATTATATCTCAAAGAAAGTCCTACATTGACTTTGTTATAATACAGTTACTTCAGAGTTAAGTGCGGGGGCATCACTTTGTCTAGTTTTTTTTAGTTTCTTTTCTGTGCTAAGTGCCGATCTGATGAGTCATGCCTTTTCCAACTGATTTTTATAGTTTGCACTTATGTTGTACTGTTACACAGCTAGTCAAGGTTAAAGGAGGTTAGGTGGGGGATTTGAGCGCAAACGCACATGTTTAACCACACCACATTGATTCTTTATGTATTTCGCCCATGTCAGGAGCCTGTTACTGGTACCTTTGTTGTTTCTGCATGTAGATAATCTTTTCATCTATTTTTTAGTTATAGACCCAAATGTTTGCATTATGTCTTAAATTTTGCATGTGTGCTCTATTTTTTATTTGTGCTTAATTTTTAGTTGTGCTTAAATTTTAATTGTGCTTCAATTTTAGTTATGCTTCAGTTTTTGCATGTTTAGATGTGTAGTTTAGTAGTGCTTTGCCTTGCATGTATTTCAATATGCCTGTACTGTATCTATGCATTTGAAAAAAAATAATTGCTGCTTATATATCTTATCTGCATGTTCTGTGTTTTAATGTTATATATATGCCATTTATATTCGGTAAAAAGCTCTTAAGAGCTTATGTTTGTATTGTTATATGTGAACCGAATCAAAATAAAACTTTCGTATTCGTATTCGTATACCGAGACCTTTAATAGCTTACTATATACAATATGGGTTTCATTATTTAAGGCTGTACAATAATCTATAGATGTCTACACCCTTCGTTCTCCTTTGTATATCTGTCTCATTGGCAATACGTATTTTTACATTGGACTAATTATCAACAAGAATAGGACAACTGGTGTGCAGATCTTTGCGTGATATTTTATGGGTACCAAGTTACTTTCAATTATGAATCTATCCACTGATTGACAGAAATTATCAATTGATTTGAACTTTAATAGTATATTTTTTAATGTTGGCTAGAAAATAGAACAAAAGCGTCAAATAAACAAAACATATATATCTGCATTCTGTCCTTGAATGCGAAAAATCTTTCTCCTCGTCTACGTAATTTACAATTAATGCATCATAAAATCAACTATATCATTGTACATATATTGTAGAGTATCAGAAAGTTAAATCTTTTAAACGAAAATTGTGTTATAAAGCAAGCTTAGATATTGCTTAGTTTAATTTTATCAAATTTTCTGAGATCGCGGATGTCGTTATGAAATGACATCACGTCACGCGTTTGCTTTAATAAAGCAGAAAAATGGAAAAGGTATGATAAGACCACTTTTTTGGCCCCTATAGAATTCAAAAATCAAAATGTTTGATTTGAGATCACAAGAATTTAATCTATTAGTATTTAAGTTTTTGTAATTTGCCTTACATGTTTGCTTCAGGGCTTCAAAATTCTACTTATCGCTTTTAATATAAAACGGCAAAAACTGCAGAAATGGCTTCATACCTATATCTTGTTATTAATATTCGGACATGAACCAAGAGCTTTTGCAAAAATATATGTTGCTAGAAGATGTCTAATCGAAGAAAAAACATTTGGCTCATTCATTAGTTGGTCAAATATGTTTTCAACCTGTTAATGAAGTAGCAGTACAATCATGTACTTTAAAAGTTTTTAGTTTATATAATCTTAATAATTTAAGGATAAAAACTATCAAAATTTTGAAAAGCTTAAAGAGTTTTACTGTTTTTCAATTTCATGGGCCTAATGATGGCTCTTACAAAAATAAAAAACTTTCAGATTCGTACAATTTTTTTTCCCTATGTATGTCAGGTGAGAGGGGAGTAACTAATCCTTTACAAGTAAGGGTTTATCCTTGGTCGATCTATATGTTAAGTGAGAGGGAATTGATGGATGAGGGATGGCTGTTTAACGTGCAGTGGCAAATTAGATGCACATTCAGGACAAGAACTTGCTAATGAATATGAGTTTGAACTCTGCTTTGTACTATACCAACATACTGAGCCGGATTTTTAACGTGCTAGTTCATAAGGCAGGAAGACATAGTACCTTACCCGGACACATTTTTCTGACTCAGAGCCGACCAGTCTTTATACTTACTCCTTAATGCCGCGTGCTTAACGGAGTACCAGCAAATACCAATTTTAAAGTCTTCGGTTTGAACCGGCCTGGGTTCAAACCCACGACATCCCGCACTCGAGGCGAGCACTCCACCACGAGACACCGGTAAGAGAGGAAATAGCCGGTAACTATAGTCCTTGACATTCGTTTGAACTTTGGCGGATAGTTTTCTCATTGGCAATCATACCACATCTCTTTATTTTATATGGCTTTATGCTAGGTAGATCTAAATGTTAAATTAGAGGAAGTGACGGTAAATAGTCCTGGACAAGTATACCTTTATCCTATGCATGTCTTGTGAGCGGGAACGGTGACGTCAACAAGACATAAACAGATACTGTACGAATTACTTTTTTATCCTGCAAGTGCAGGGAGCAAATAATGGCCCTTATAATGCCCTTTCCTTTGAAAGCTGGCTCCCTGGGAAGTGTTGAAGGTTCTTTTGTAATAATTAGTCGTACTGGCTCTGGGTTTCACTTCTTAGAAATGTTGTCCGACGACAGACGAGAGCCATTTGATGATAAAAAAAAGAACAGATTTTTTTTCAGTATGTACTACACAATATTACTTAATACCTACGTTTCTTCTTTTTGTAGTTTTGATTCGATTAAATGTAGACTTTCGAATAAAACGCCCAAAACGACAGTTGTTATCATTCCTATGACCAAACCTAATGTAAAACACTGTAATAAGTAATAGGTTATCACATGGAAAATATCTTATCTTTAAAAACATGAAAACTTTATGACTCTTTTCTGTGAAAAAAAAAATAATCATTTGAAATTTACAAAAAAAATCTTATTGTTAATTTGATTCATTAGCATCACGAGTTGGTTGACCGTTATGGAATATCTGTTTCACAGATGACGACGGATATGGTCGAAACCACAATCCGTCCTTTTTATTAAATGTGACATACCGAATTAGACTTATCACCGGTTTTGTACTTACACGAGCAACAAGACGGGTGCCACATGTGGAGCAGGATCTGCGTACCCTTCCGGAGCGCCTGAGATCATCCTCGTGTTTAGTGGGTTTATTGTTGCTCAGTCTTTAGTTTTTATGTTGTATTTGTATACTGTTGTGTGTCTATTGATCGTTTTTCGTTTTTGTTTTTTTGCCAAGGCATTGTCAGTTCGTTTTCGACTTGTGAGTTTGCCTATCCCTTAGGTTTCTTTCGCCTCTCTATTAGCATAAGTGGTTGGCTACTATTAAAATCATGTTCATGAAAGTTTATCTATATTTGCAAGTCGAAAGCGGTCTACAAAAACAAAAGGAGATGTGGTATATTTGCCAATGATAGAACTATATCCCTTAGAGTTCAAATGACGTGGATATAAGCAGTTTACGTTTGCGAACATTACAGAGTATACAAGTTGTATAAAATTTATGATTGATATACTGTGATATTTTTTTGTTTTTGTCTTTACTTTTTAAACGTGTCAGGGATCTGTATGTATGTATTTGTTGTTTTATTTTAATCATGGACACACTTGTGTATTTTTGTATGTATGACTCAGCAAACTATTTGAATATTGCTTACCGATATGGTCGTCAGTTTTCCATTGTAAGAATAAAAAGTTCGAGGAGGTGTATGTCGTCAGGACTTTATTCTGCAATAAAGTCAATTGTCAATTTCAATAAAAATGATATATCACAATTTAGTTAATGTGGTACGACTTAAACATTGATCAACGTTTAAATGCAAAATTGATGATACCAAATCAACAAAATGCTCATTCTACTTCATAAATGTGTAGTGCATTCGTAGTTTCATCTGTGTCGACAGAGGCGAGAGTGGGTCTAGTAACCGCTTCATCCGTCCGTCTCCCGAAATACGTAGAGGATACTGTAAACCAACTTATTTTCGCGGATACTTTATTTCGCATTTAGCCCTTATTAGCCCATTTCGCGATTTTCAAAGAGGTAGGGCCAATTTCCCCTGAAATTTGTTCACAGAAGGGCCAATTTAAAAGTGCTGAAAGAATAAAATTTACGATAAAAACATGAAATAAAAATGTTTTTTGGTCAATATCTCGATTTTTATGTATTATGTTATGTCTGTAAAACAGTTAATTTAACCTCCAAAAAAGTATATGAAAGTCAAATATGCGGATTTTACCGTGTTTTTGTCGAGAACTTATTTTACGCATGCATCTCTTTTCTGTGTATAGTTTTTATAAATGTCCAAGTTAAAGCTAATAGAGATCATAGAAGTATGTTTATCAAATGATCATGTCTACTCACAATTAAAACAATTAGAAAGGGATTGACTCGTCCGACTAAAACGAAGCACAAAAACAGCAATTACTAGTATTTCCAAATAAACTCCATGTACCGATCTTAGAGTATTCACAGCTACTGAACACTATCTTAAAAACAACTACAACTAATAAATACAGAATAATTATCCAGTCTAGAATATTAATCAATTATTTCGTACTGTTATACCACTGTATTAGGTAAGAGGGACCGTTAACATGTTTAACCCCGCCACATTATGTATGGATGTGACTGTCCCAAGTAAGGAGCCTGTAATTCAGTGGTTATCGATTGTTGCTGTGTTTTCGTTCATTTTTTGTACATTAATTAGGCCGTTAGTTTTATAGTTGTAATTATTTTTCATTTGTCATTTTGTGGCCTCTTATAGCTGACTATTCTGTATGGGCTTTGCTCATTGTTGAAGGTCGTACGGTGGCCTATAGTTGTTAATTTCTCTGTCATTTGGTCTCTTGTGAAGAGTTGTCGAATTGGCAATCATACTACATCTTCTTTTTTGTACATATCATAAATTAAGTAAAAAAGTACATAAAAACTCTGGAAAAGCAAGACCTTGTGTCATGTCAAAAGCACAGAGTGTCTGTAGGACCATTAGTGTTCATAACTGTATAGCAGATTATATGTAGTTTCCAATTAATCAGTAAAAGATACATGATTATTTGTTAGTGAAAATATATATAGCTAAATAAATGAATATTTATATCAACAGAAACATCAGAAACGAGAATATGTGTCCATTAGATTACACGCCAGTATCACATTTCCGTGTTAAGTGAGCTCTAAATCAAGGAAAAAAATCCAATTCAGTTTGTAGTCTTAAACTTTTAAATCTCGTGCGAGATGTCTAAATTAATGTTCAAACATTGTTGTTTTCAAAACGTATTTATCAAAGTCAAACGACAATCATTTTTTTTTGTGCCATACAATTTGTGATTATGGCCGGATCTAAGATATTTGAAAGAGGGCATAGTTCCCGATAATTGAATTTATACTGCCGAGCGGAGCAACGCGAAAAAAAAATAGACGATTTTATACTAAACATTTGTATAGATAACGTGGAAAACGTGCGATTTTCAAAATTATTTTGCGATCGAAAGGAGGGGGGAGTACGCCCTCTACCCCTGTCTCAGCGAATACACGTTTAGGTATACATGGACAAAAACCTCGTCCCATGCATTATTATAGTTGAAGACTAAAAAAACACATTTTGATAAATGTATCAATGATATAAATTTCTGTCAAATAACTTGAATTAATTATAGAAATTAATTTTTTTTAAGTTAGTCGCGTACACCTTTTACATTCGGGTGTGTTGGAATCTACTTTTTAAACGTTAAAACTTTTAAAAGCAAAATAAGAGATAAACTTCTCGCTTCGGATTTCATTATTTTAATATTTTCATGCTAAATTTTTATTTGGTAATTTTAAAAATTCACATTTTGAGAAGAACTGAAATATGGGTCAAGTGAAATGACAAGAAATGATGGGTGTATTTGATTACAAGTTGATAGCTTAAGTATTCCATTAAAATATTTTTGTCAATAAAATCATTCAAAATATTTAAAGATTAAAAAAAGTAGTTGGGATTGATTTTTACATTAAGTCTATATCAGCAAAAATGCGTGTTCTAAAAGCAAAAAGTGCATGCAGTGTATGCTCCCCTCCGTCATGCTTCAATGCAATAGGACGAAATATGTTGAGTTAGGTGAGTTAGGTCGGTTATGTCGAGTAAAGTCATTTTATTGGAAATCTCTAGTAGACATTTGCGGAAACTGTTATACACCTATGATTAGGATTACAATTACACTTACAGGTAGCATTTAGATTTTGGGTCGTTTCAAAATGAAAATATAAACCGTCGGTTCAAAACAAAGACTAACTCCTATGATGTTTTTCTATAGTTGAACAACGGGATTTCAACGAAATATCGGTAAAAAATGGTTTCTTAGCAGCCTGAGGTGAAATCTCGGGCCAATTTAAAGATAACCCGGACCACTTTTAAAAACAGCTCGGACCAGTTTGAAATACAACTCAGACCAGTTTAAAACACTTGTCAGACCAGTGGCTCTTCGTGGTTTTTACGTTTAATATGATTTTTGTTTGTTTTTGTCTAGATTTTTTTCTACTCAGTTTCCCCTATCTGACCATCTTAGCTTGCTGTGACAACTTGTCAGTTTGATGCATTCTAATAAGTTCTGTTACTATAAATTGTTTTATGACGGTCTAACGAGATCAATTAGAAATGTAAAACAACAAATATCTTACAATGCAATGAAAATATAAAGCAGATATATATTCGTCTTTACATATACGGGCCCGTGTTGTAATATGTGATCCTAGAAATCTTTCAAGATATTGAAATGCCATTTACCGTCAGTCGCCAAATGGTAATTTTCGACTATCATTAGCGTCAACTTGATTCAGTTTATATTGTGGTTTGTCACATTATCCTCATTTGTCAGAGTTCACAAGAATTTCGTTTAAATATTCTTAAAGCATTCAGGTTGTCTTTTAAAGTGCACGGATGTCTATGAACCCAATTTTAGATTTTTGAAAGTCAAACAACTTTTTTAAACGATGATTTTTTCTTATATTTCTTTAGAAATAAAGTAATCATGTGTTATAAAATAAAATTGTATTACATAATTCTTAACTTAGTACATGCTCTTTGCTTGTATAGATATTTGAATGCACACGAATATCAATTGGATCCGAATCTTAATCAAACACATGACACATCATTTATAACGAGATAGTTTCATATTTCATTAGGAATAAATTATAAGCTGATATTAAAAACAATCGCCAACGTGATATTTACTACATGTATCGTTAACGTTAAAAACAGTAGAAAAATACCGTTTATATTATTTGGCAAGATTTAAACATTATCTAAAAAAAAATCACACACTATTTAAGTTGTTTAGGGAGCAGTGGCGGATACAAAAGTGTAATCGTATAAAAGACGAACGACTCCCAATTACAATATACCACCCACTTTTGTAAAGCGAGTGGAACTATTAATAGGGAAAATGAATAAATCAAAAGTGTATTTCGTGCATTTATTTTATTTCCCCTGTTATGAAGAACCCAGATTAACCATCATGGTAGCTTTACCTGCCCTGATGCAGACTCCACCAGATGTTATGGTTCCGTGACATTTCATTCGTCGTCTGATTCTAGCCCTGGAAGTCCTATTTGACCACCGACGGCCAATCTGTTACAATCAGGGAAATATTATAGGTAATGATGTACACTTTTGGAATGGGAGAGATGTGTTCACTTGTTTTGCAAGCAAATGATATTCCTTTTACAGGTGAAACTCCTGAAACGTTACTTCAAATTGTAGCCGATGTTAATGATCTCTTCAGACAGAGAACCGGTCGGGATAATAAGCTTTGCCCGGGCAAAAGAATTCTTCTTTTATATTATGGTTACAATCGAACCCGTATTCTGAAATAGTTGACGTTAGTGTTTCGACTACCAAAGACGAAACAAATACATGTATACCTATTTCAAGAAACATATAACCGTCTTATTTATTGGCCTTCTTTGGATGATTGGCAGAACTTGTAAGGTGAGTGGCCAAAACTTCCGTTTGCAGTAGGGCTATCGACTGAAAGTTTGTGACCGATAACGGAACCACAGGAACAGTATTTCTCAGGACACAGACATTGTCACTACATTCACGCTCAAGTTGTAATATTGAACGAAGATAGGATATGTTATATTGAGTGCGGATTCCTTTGGCATCAGCAATATATGTTGATGAGAAATATAGGACAAGAATTACCTTTCCTGACTGAGCTGATTTTGCTAGGCGACAAAATATATCCAACAGATATCCAGTATTGACACCTTACATAAGACAAACCTAGAATATGCAGAAGAAGTGCAGAAAATTAAATAGACATATTACACACTATAGAGTAGAGGTTGACCACGCCATCGGAGAATTAAAAAAAAAAACACAAAGTTATGGAGACTTTGTGCCGATTCACATCTGTTGTGACTATAAGTTTCTGCATTTGTGTGTCGTCGAAAAGACTTATTTACATGATAAAACAAAATATCATTTCATTTTACTATGTATCTCAATTGGGTTTATTTTTTTTTATTTTGAGAGGACCCCTTGTTTTTCGTCAACCGTAATCGTAAGTCTAAATGTAATCCTAGGTATAGGCCTAGTTTCCGCAAATGTCTATTTAAAAACATGATTTACCTAGCTAATCAAATGAAAAAACTCACGGGAAAATGGCCCTACCTCTTTGATTGATGCAGTTAAATAAGGAAACTTCCAAGTTTTACATATTCGCGACGATTTATATTCGCGTTATTTTACTACTCGCGAAAGTCGCGAAAATAAATCGCTCGCGAAAATTAGTTGGTTTACAGTACCTATTGTGTGTCTTGCGTACCTTACAAATTCGCCTCCAACTTTTATCAAACTTTGCACACAGATTGTAAATGTGGATCTCCTATTTAAGATAGATTTGAATAGTTTTTTCTCTGTGAAACTTATTCATTTTGTCATCGATCGTAGCTATTTTGTGTTATGTAAACTCCCACAGGCTTCCTTCAACATTATTCAGCCATTGCGATTTCTCACATATTGAAGATGTGCACCTTCTATTTTCGACATATTTGTATTATTTGTTCTAAATTAAGTTTCCCATACATGAAACCTAGTCATTTTTGTCATGGATTGATATCACAGTCACTTGTCTCAGAAAAAAAATCCTATATACCTTAAAATAACATTATATTAAGGTATATAGGAATTTTTTTTTCTGAGACAAGTGCCTGTGATTGCTATATAGGATAAGTTTGAAACTACGACAGTTTCCTTCAACATTGTTCAAAATTTGCATTTTGTGCCTAATGAATAATTTTCCCTCTCCCTGTCGGTATTATTTAACAAACTTTTTGGTTAATTGCATTTAAACTTTACCTTTTGAAGTTGAAAAAAATGGTGGACTAAACGGTCTTTCCATTGAATCAACCGATTGCTTAGGGCAGATGTATAATATGTGTATGACAGATCTTTTGCAAAAGACCTACACCATACAAATATTGCTACAATTAAATATTTATGGCCTCAGTGCTATAATGATAAAACCCTCTTTTATAATTTTCATAACTTTCATGGGATTGCAAAAGAGAGGCGAAAGATATCAGAGAGATATTTACAATCATAAGTCGAAAACAAACTGACAATGCAATGGTGAAAATCGAAAAACGATCAACTATTGAAAATTCTTATGCTTGATAATTTTCCTTTTCATGCGTCGCGCTTATAGGCTGTTAATCAAAACAGCACCGTGAGACGAAGGTACAGACACAGCATTGATGTTGTTAAAAAGCAGAAATAGGCCAAACTGCATATGATTTTGCAGAAATTTTACTCAAAGACCACTCACATTTATGTTAAGCTCACAGTACGACATTGCTAAGAATAGAACATAGGGGTAAAATGCAAGTTTTGTCGATTATCTTGAAAAGCGCTGTGAATAGAGAAAACCTGACTGGGGCAGAAATGACCAGAATGTTGTTCATTTGCGTCAAAACTGTCAGACGTTTTCTTATAGGAGTTATTGCCATTAAATGTCAAATTTGATGTTTGCCTATTATTTTGAAAACTTTGATGGATAGAGAGAAACTTATAGCATGAAAAATTAGCAACAAGACAAGATCTACAAAAAGATCTCGTTATTGGAGTTATTGATCTTAAATGACGATTTTTATCAATTTGTTTTTTGCATTTTTGCCTATTATCTTGAAAATTATAATAGATATATAGAAACTTTAAAAAGCAAAAATGATCAGCGAGACAAGATCTACAAATCTTCTGAAATTATCAGCTAACCCTTTATAGAGTTATTGCCCTTTCAAGATGTTTTATAACCAAAAAAGTGGCCATTGTTGAAGATGCAGGTAAGCGACACAGACTCTTTAGAGCCTCTGGTTATTGAAGTGTCTTTAGTAAACAAAACAATACGTCACTTTTGATAAAATAACAAGAGGCTCTCAGGAGCCTGAATCGCTCACCTGTAATTTTTTGCATAAATCTTTCATCAATGATTATTTTTTGCTTTTCAACATATATTAATGAGTGGCTTAAAAATGCAATTTTAATGTTCTTTGTATCTGTCATATTTTCTTCAAAAGCCAAAAAAAAAAAAAATGCATTTGTTCCATATTAGCCATAGTGGCTATGTTTCTTGACGTACAAGGAAATAACATACAAAATTTATACTAGATACTCTGAAACTCATTCAGCCCAAGTTTGGCTGAAATTGATTCAGTAGTTTCAAAGGAGAAGATTTTTTTTAAATAAGCAAACTAGGTGAACAAATTGAAAAATTGTCTTTAAAGGGCAATAACTCCTTAAGGGGTCAATTGACAATTTTGGTCATTGAAACTCATTTGTAGATCTTACTTTGCTGAACATTTTTGATGTTTATAGTTTATCTTTATCTATAATAATATTCAAGATAATAACCGAAAACTGCAAAATTTAAACTGCAAAATTTCAGCAATAAACTAAAAATCAAATACACGATTTGGCTGATAATTTCAGCGCAGGTAGACTTTGACATAATGAATACTTTTACTTCTTGTCTGATTTGTTCTAAATGCTTTAATTTTTTAGATATAAGTCAAAAACTGCATTTCATTTTACCCTAAGTTCTATTTATAGCCATGGCAACCATGTTTTCTGAGGAAACAGAAAATAAAACACAAACTTTATTCTAGATAACCTAAGAATCATTCAGCTTAAGTTTGGTTTAATTTGGTTCAGCAGTTTCAGTGGAGAAGATTTTTTAAAGTTAGAAAACATGATAAAACAAATTGTGTAAAATTGTCCTTAAAGGGCAATAATTTCTTAAGGGGTCAATTGACAATTTTGGTCATTGAACTTATTTGTAGATCTTACTTTGCTGAACATTTTTGCTGTTTACAGTTTATCTTTATCTATAATAATATTCAAGATAATAACCAAAAACTGCAAAATTTCCTTAAAATTACCAATTTAGTGGCAGCAACCCAACTATGGGTTGTTAGATTCATCTGAAAATTTCAGGGCTGATAGAACTTGACCTAATGAACATTTAAACCCCATGTCAGAGTGCTCTAAATGCTTTAGTTTTTGAGATATAAGCCAAAAACTGCATTTTACCCCCTATGTCCTATTTTTAGCCATGGCGGCCATGTTTCTTGACGAAACAGAAAATTAAACACAAACTTTATTCTAAATACTCTAAGGATCATTCAGCTTAAGTTTGGTTGGAATTGATTCAGTAGTTTCAGAGGAGAAGATGTTTGAAATAGTTTATAACGGACCGACGACGACGACGACGGACGCCAAGTGATGGCAAAAGCTCACATTTCTTTGGGAAAGGTGAGCTTAAAATCAGAGAAACTCAAGAGGAATTAAACTTATTGGTATTCAAATATCCACTTACCATCATTTAAGTGTATTAATCTTTTCTTTTCTTGTTCAGCTACTGTGTCATCTAAAACTACCATGAAAATTTTCATAAGAAGAACGAAACGACATAACATTTCTATGATATGAATAAAATAATACACAGGGATCAGATTCAAACAATTAAACCAAATCCAATTTTGCTGAATTCAAAAACACTTTCTGTATTTCACTTTCAAGTTTGGATAATACGATCGAATAAAAGCTCTTACGTTGAAAACTAAACACTATTTATATATTAATTTAGTCGCTATTTGTCATTAGGATCTTTTTTTTATTTTTCTAGGGGAGATTATAGTTTGTCGGAAGACATGAGTGTTTGTTAAATGGATTTTTGAGGACAGTAGGGTGATATATAAATCTTCATGGATGGACAAGAATTGACAAAAACTACATGAGAAGAACTAAATAATTTGTAAATAAAATTCAAGACATTTTGTGCCTACCCTATCTTACTCTTTCTATGCTGTTACCAAAATTTTTATTAATGACAGCAATATTATACTAATAAAAAGTGCAAATACGTGATTATCACTGCATAAAATGGAGAAGTTATTTCACAACAGCATTCATAAATATACATTTTTTCTATCCTGTTACTATTGTTACAGTACCAGGATATACATGATTTGACGGAAACGTCTCCAAAAAGAACATAGATGTATTTATTAGAGTTGAGCATACACGTGTTTCTATTTATGTAAACAAAGACACGTGAGTGTGTGTCTTTATAGTGGTCATCTATTGGTGTTTATATTAGATAAACAGGTTTATGTTTTAAATATATGATATTTCGGATTGGTCAATATTTGTCGCAGTGCGTAGATATATTGAGTATGAATAGGTATAAATGATTAACCAAACAATGTCATACAGTCTACCACACAGCCCTCTATCTGTCGCTATTCTGGTTCTGGAGCGCTCCTTGATCTTGTATTAAATGTCAGATTAGCTAGTATTATCTAAATACTTGTCACTTTCAATTAGATATATTATTGTTTTCAATTATTATCTGTTAAAAGTTTTACTATGTACCAAATGGCATGGTGTGTGTAATATGACTCCCAATAATGTAAACACTACCGGTCTTGTCAAAGATGGAGATTTCACTTTATGAAAAATTTAGAGAGAAAGTTGAAAAGTAAGTATTTTCAAGATTATTAATTTTACGCACATGTTGAAAAAAAATGAAATTTATATAAATAATTATAAAATTTAGGAAAAAATGCCTGAATGTATTCTGTTGCGGATCAAAATTTATTTCTTATGAATTGACTGAAAAGTTTGATAATAATTATAGATAATTTCTATTATTTTATGTTTTAAACTTTAAATTAAGTAGACTGTGCATGTTTAAACTGCTTCACATAAATTTTGGTTTTCAATATTTCTGATTAGAAATTGACAATATTTCTATTGTTTTAGAACTGATAGTCTTGGGTAAAACATGTTTGAAAATGTCCCTTTACTCCGGGAATTATCAACAAAGCTATTTTCCGAGAACAATTTTACCTGGATATCTCTTAAAGACATTCTCCAATTCCTTAGACAACATCATACTATTACAGATCATATTAAAGAAATCAAGCGATTCAATATTTTAAAAGAATTTAAGGGACACAAGTTTGGCGTTTTGGAAAAAGAAAGTGAACCATTTATCAATGTTACATCTTTCCTTCGATACATCTTTAACCACTGTGACCAGCTTCAGATATGCAGTGAGATTGTACTTCAAATACAGAGTAAGCTTACTCCAAAACGAGATGAATTCTGCTTACAAAATACACAAGACTTGTACAAAGTCATAGCTTCGAAAAATTTTAGTTATTCAAAATTACAGAATGTTGTTTACAATGAAATATCAATAGATGAAGATAAAATATCTTCACTTCATAAACAATATAAATCTGATTTTATTAAAAATGAGTGGATTAAAATTTGTCTCTTTGAAAACCATTTTTTACTTGAATTTGAAGAAGCTGAATATGCAGAGTTTGAGGAACAACTTGCAGCAAAATATAACTTTCTTCAAAACATAGATGCGGTCAAAGAGATAACAAAATCTATAAATCGGACACCAAAAAGAACTATAAAATCAAGACAAAAAAGACAGAACACTGCTTCTGAAAATGAAGAAATTCAGTTATATTCTGAAAAAGTTCACATCGTCAAGAAGGTAGAGTTTGAGCTTACAGATTTATTTTAAAATGAGATTGAGAAAGTTGTTGTGTCAAATTGTATCAACAAATGTAAACACGAATTCTCCTGGCATGTCTTTGCTGAGTTGAAAAATGAGCACTGTTTGAATAATGAAGAACTGATTCAAACTATTCAGCTGCACTTAAACCGAAAGCATGACCTTAAATGTGGTTGAATTATTTTATTACAACCAGGCACGTTTGCCTCTTTCCTAGCAGATAATGGCAAAATAGCTCGTTTTAAGTTCTTAGAGGAGTTCCAACAAACAGGTCTTCCAGAGAGCATTATATTTGCTTACAGACTACCTGATCTAGCAACAAAACCAGATGTTGATATTCCTGAAAATATTCCACAATGTGAAGAATGCCACATAAGTGATAATAAACCATCAGCTTCATTGCATTGGAAAAATGTCAATTTGTTACAAGAATGGTCACTTGATGTACCATTGTCAGTACAATTATTACGTGAATCTTTTGTCAACCAGAAAAGCTTAGACAGGTCATCTGAATTATAAAATTTTGTGAAGACAAAACTTTTAAAACTTTATAGTATATATGATACACTCTTGAATCTTACTAATAGAAACTACTGTGGAGTTTTACAAGATCTTAATACACAAGAACTTGCCTTGAATTACCAATCAGTTGGTACTGTGTTCAGCATTTCATCAAGTAGTGGTGCTACTCTTAGTCTGAATTCTGCAGAAATGAAATTAAAACAGAAAGCTGCAGATGACATCTGCAACTACAATACCTATATCCGGAGGTACCCCATGAAATACCAAACATTGGCAGGAATGAGAAACAATCTGGTATCTTTACAGGAGTGTTTGATAGTTGTAATGATGGACAACTTAGTACGGCTGAAGTATCATTCAGACCCCAATCCGGGTGAAAATAGATCAATGCAGCTATGCACACTGCCTATAACTATAAAAGGTGTACCTATAAATTCACTAGAGATAGAAGAAAAATGGCATGATCAAAATATCTGTGACCAATCTAACTGTTGTCCATGCAAAATTGACCAAATACTCACAAAAGAAGATTTTAACCATAGAATTCTATCACTGCTACCAGAGGAAGAAAGCTGTTTTACACGATTCAGAAATATGATGACATGGACATTATTTGATGTTTGGAAACAGATTGCTGAAGGTTAGTATACATTTCAAAATAACTTGTAGATTTGTAATCTCAATCCCATTTTAAGGAATGGTTGAAGTGTACTTGAAAAGAATCAACTAATGCTGGAATCTTTCAAAGCCATATCTCATAAAATATTATGATGTAAAATTAAAACAATTTTTAAAAAAAGACAGCACTTTCTACGTATGGAAAAACCCAAAATGACAAATCATAAAAAAAAGTTTCTGTCTAGCAATTCAAAGAAAGGTAATACATTTCATCACAAAAACAATACTAGCTTCACACCACTGACGTAAACCAGGTACCATAACACATGGATCACTTGGTATATATTCTGTAATTTAGGCCAACATGGACACTGCTATTAATTCTACTCATCAATGCTCAAGCAAACATGAATGTACACAATGATTAACTCATTCATGCTTAGAGCATGAAGTTGTTTATAGTAGTACTTATTCAAATGGAATGAAACAGCAAAAATCCCTGCAAGTATTTAAATGGCTCCACTGTAGCAGAGGTGGCATTAAAGTTTACCCTGTCCGCCCATTTATAATTGATTTCCGTTCTTTAACTTCAGTTTGACTTAACAAAATGTTATGAAACTTATACACACAATGCTTATTACCACAAAACTCAGATCAAGTTGAATTTGGGTGGCATCACTTTTACCGTTATGGAGTTATGCCCCTTTACATTAAATCCAAACGGGGCAACCATCCGTGTCCCATGGACACATGCTACATTAACTTATTTCTAATGTCCTCTTTTTATTTCCAGTGATTCCAAATTTCCCTTTTGTCTTTATCATTCTGCCTGTTTAAGCTAAATAAATACAGTAAACCAATTAAAAAAATAGAATTTAATAGTTTTCATTTTAACTCTAAATTTTAGATGACGATGAATTTCTACAGCTAGGTGGTTTGGAAAGAAAAGTTTGTGAAAATGATACATTAGAGAGATCTTTTGCAGCATTGGATATTCAACCGGAGGATATTGGGGATATTGAGGTAATTTCATGCTACATAAGAAATCTTTGGGGAAAAAAAACTGCCTTCAAGACGATTGTGTTATATCTTAAAAAAATATATATTTGGACAACAATATGTTATGTTTGTTAAATGCATTACATTTGCATGATTTGTTTTGTATTACACACATCATCAACTGGTGGCATGTCATTTCTATATTAAAGAAAATGCATACACAACAATTATTTTTTACCAGAAAAAAATACTTAAAGTACAATGTATCAATATTGTTTTTGTTTAAGAAAATTATTTAAAAGATTTATTGATTGCTTTTTCTAGGAAGGTAAGAAAGAGGCTTTGAAAGGGTGAAATGGTAGTTTATTACAAACAATCATAAGACAACAGTTGTTAAAAGAAAGATACATATTAAACAGGCAACATTTTGTTTCAGATTCACGAAGAATTAGTGCAAGAAACAGATTCTGAAGGTAGTGACTGTTCATCATCTCAAAATGACGAAGACAAAACAATTGATTATGAAGTATGTTTAAGTGAAGATGAGAATAGTGAAGACGCATCAACAGCAGAAGAGATAGATATTGAAGAAGAAATCTACTTGCAGAACATTTTTGAAGATGTTGAGATCAAAATAACATCTGACACAGAATTAGACAATTTGGACTCTTATTTTAAACCTTTGGATCAATCCACCG